GATGAATATTTATAGTTGTGAATCTGTTTTATACTATGGAATTATCTGAGTACCATATGATCAAGTCGTAGTGAATTTGATCCATTTCGTTTTCATACGTCATCATTAGAAGGAAGTCTGAATGCAATCAAATTTTTATCACATCAAAATTGTCAATGTTGAGAATATTTATAATTGCAGCAATTGTTAGAAATCATTATATCTATCGTTAAGTTTTCCGTTTAAACTTATTTCTAAGACGCTACACAAATCAAGACAATAATACGATCGTAAATAGGATTTTTCTCCAGCAGTGACCTGATTTATTTTTATCCGAGTTTTGATATATAATTAGCTTAACTTTGTCTTCTAGCATATGTATCTGAGAAAATTGAAGCGATGGTTTTGTCATTAAGATCGATACTTTGACGTCCGAATGTGTAAATATGTACAGATCATTGGTAGCCGTTTTCTTTGTTATCTTTTTATTGTTGCTTTCTCCAATCAGAAAGTGTAGACAGAACCAAAGAATGATCGCTAATTAAAATGAGGGTTTCTAAATAGCATTATTAAGATTATCCGTAAATTGGTGAATAAGGATTAACTTCTCGATTACCAGTTTCGTTCGTTCACACATAAGTGTTTTAATGTACTGCAAAAGAGGACACTATAGCAGTTTTTTTCTCATATATGTAATAGATAACTTTGTGTACTATATGTAAAACACATAAGTTAAAGTACGACTTATGAAAAGTTGTCATAAGCGAAAACAATGAAATATGATTCGGTACTTCTTTTGACAGCTAACACACTCAACATAACCTTCGTGCTCATTTTATTGATTTACTAAACTTTTATTGAATTCATGAACGAAAAGAATCTTCATTTAGTTCTTCGGAAAATTCGTAGGGTTTTGCATAATTACTTAGAATGTATTTTTGACTGTAACCGATTCATTCAATGTTACGGTATAATTAGAGAAAAATCTATTTTTCGAATGCCAAGTGGCGTTCTGAGATTGAATAGAAGTCATTAATCAGCTACCAAAATTTCCTTAAGATTTTTATTATAATACAAATTAGGAGCCATTTAGGCTATCTTATATAGTATTATATTAAATGATTAAACATTATCTAATAAACACAAACTTGACAAACCATGAATCGAAAGTGATAAAATATTGTTCAAAAAATTTAAGAAACATCATCTACTATAGTTAGATGACATTGATTGTCAATTAATTTATTTAATATTTTATTTTTAACCAGAATTCATGTAAAAACATGTTTGATTAATGATTTTTATAATCTAATTTCTGTTCAGAACAAAATTCATAGAAGAACGGAACACTTGTAACAAGACAAGTTACGTCTAAGATAATTAGCTGTCATAACTATCATTGTTTTCGTTTAATAAATACTTCAAAAGTAAGTTTCGAATAGTTTTCAGCCGATAATCGAATCGTAAAATATTCTTTGAAACATTTTATTGTTAGAAACATGACGTTTAAAGATTTTCACAACAACTTAATAAATGAAGAGCAAAATTTTTCGAACTACAAAAATGTTTATTTTATTAGACATTTTCGTTTTACATAATCATATACGGATTCAACTACGAGATCAAATCGAACTTTTTTTATCATTTTAATCATTTGAAGCATTTCATTTAAGAAATTAATCATGATACGTTTACTGTACTATATATATATATATTATACGAAGAAGAACTTCAAACTTTATCATTTATCAAAATAATAAAAACAATCCGAAAATAAATATTTAAAAAACACTGGCATATATATAAAATTGTAATCATTAAGTCTTTAAATTTGACCAATAATACAATAAAAGATGATTTTGTAATATTATACTGAATAACAATTGGTTTTAACTTGGTGCCATTAAACACAAAATTATTGCAAATATCTAAATAGTGAAATGTAATCATATTGAACATATCCAAAGGTAAAATACCCAATTCAATGTAATTAAACTTGAACTTAACGATGATGCTTGAAAATGTATTCCTACTATCAAGATTCGTTAGACTGTCATTAGCTGGAGGCTAGAAAGATTATTGATTACTTGCAGTAAATAAAATCGTACATTGTTTAGTTAATGTTATTTGCTCTAATGTCCGAATGTTTGCAGTAATTCTTAGTCACGGTATTAGTTTGTTGTTAGACAAATGCAACTAATACTATGATGATAAATTATCAATAGAATTTGAAGGAGTGATCAGATCGAGATATTGATAAACACTAATCGATATGTGAGAAGAGTTATTTCAACAGAACGTCGACGAACACAATTATCTTCAAATTTAAATTCATTAAAGCTTATACTTTGTACGTGCAATTCTTTTTAAGACTTTAAACAAAACAATGTTGTTTATGCAAACTACCGACGAGCGATATTCACTATAAAAAACGTGTTCATTCGTATCCATCTTAAGATAAGACTTTCAAGTAAATATTAACAATAGATTAACATAAGTAAGAAACAGAAATGGCAAAAGAATGTCATTATTGCCTGTATATTGAATATAATCAAGTGGCGAAATAACTCGAACATCGGTAATGTAAATAAAATTTTAATTGATATTAGATAGCACAAATTTAAGACTTTAGTTCTTTAATCTCAAATTCAAGTTGAAATTTTAATTTTTAGATTTTTGATGTTCTTTTAATGCAATAAAAAATATTTATTATATATTATGGCTATGAGCATATAGAGATCAAGATTCACTACAATGAAACTAATTTTAAAAGGCGATAGCGATTAACAAAAAAGAAGTGATGATTCATTTTATGTATATATGATACTTGTCTTATCTTGATTTGTTTTTGTATCATTCTGATGTATTTTATATATTTTACTCGTTTGAATATTTACTTATATATCGTAGCTATTATTTGCCCTATAATAATTTAATGAATTTGTTGTTATTAAAGTGTAGATTGCTTTACAAACTGAATGCTCATTAGCGATAGTGCTGAGCATGACGATCATCAGTTGAGAGGGCTAGACAAAAAAGTGTATGCTCATTTATAGATGCTGTGACAGCTTATCAACGATGATCCTTTGTCAAAAAGAATCTATACATCATATTACGAATGAAAAAAAAAAATTACTGGGAAGTCAACAAAAACGAAAAAGATGAGAATGTTAATATCAGTATAACAGCAGATGATAACATTGAATAATATTCATTAAACATATTACTTTTCTATACAAATCCGTTGCCATCCATGTGAAATACATAAATTTGAAAAGCTTATGTCACATCTTTTTTTTTTTGCTGACATATTTTATTTTAACTTTTAAATAAATCCAGTTCGATGATCTGTTTGTAAAATTATACGATTAGAAAATCTTTAGTGTCTTCTAGCAAATATTCAAGTAAGGTAGTAAAATAATACAAATTCGTTTCAGATGAAATGATCATGCAAATCATTCCTCAACCTGAATTTGAGATCAACAGACTTCAGTACTTCATTTTTTTACTAATGTATAACACTTTGTATTACAATATATTATCCTTCCACAAAATATAAAAACATTACAAACTACTCAAGCTTTTATTTACTCATTATTCAAGACTATTATCCATTTCAAAATAAAATAGTGTGAGTATTTTTGAAGTAACTTTTAATCGGAATAAGATAGACATCTGTGATTTCCACTATTTAAAATATGAGATGAAACTGCATCGAATCGTTTATACCTGATTATTCGGACAAGTTTTCTCGAGGTCTGTCATCAAATTTATTAAAAGTAAAACATTGAATAACGTAAAAGTTTTAGGATTTTAATTTTCAGGAATGCATTAGAATCATCAACTAAAGATCTATAAATTATGAAAGAACGATGTTGTTAGGCTTAGCCTATTATGAGTTATAAATATTTTACTACAAGTTATCAGCAGATTTTTCACAAAAAAAATCACTTTTTTTAGAAAACTTCATGGGAGACTCTGAAAAAATTTATTAAAAGAATTTCACATATACAATTCAATACATTTTTATCTCTTCTTTTAAGCAATGAAAACCTCAGATCCCTATCTCATTCCTA